TGGGTGAAAGAACTGTACTATAAGGGTTTGACTGTTATTGTTACATGTCATTGAGTTGCCTGTGATTCACAGTGACCCTATGCACAATAGTCCTGCATCCTGCCCTCTCCTGAGCCAGCCTCACTGACTACAACACACTAACCCCATTATCTCAGTTACTGTGTCAATCCAGCTCATCCAGGGTCTTTCCCTCTTGCGCTGTCCCTACACCCTTCCAAGCGTGATGTCCTTTCTCAAGGACGGGGCTCTTCTGGCCACGTGACTGAAGTACGTGAGTCAGAGCTTCAAAATCCTCATCTCTAAGGGGCAACATGGTTTCACCCTCTCTAGGACAAACCTGTCTGTTCTCTTGGCAGTCCAGGTTCAGGAAAGCCTTTTCCAAGTCTCCTTTGACTTCCTTCTTGACGCGCTCCAGCATGTCATAAGGACTGGAGCTCTTGTACCTTTCAAACACTTTCTGCAGGAGGCACACACTGCGCTCTGTCAGGATACTGATCCACTTGGGCACATCAGTTCCCATCCTCTTCACGCCAGCATCATACAACTCCCGGGCACCCTGGTCAATCTGCTCATAGTCAATGACGGAGCCATCCTCTGCTCTTCTGCCCTTGGCGAGGGCAACCATCAGCTTGCGGAAGTCCCCAGATGTGTCCACCAGGGGCGACTACCAGAAAGCCCTGCTGTACCTGTGCGGCAGAGATGACTGAAGCTGGAGGCCCCGTGAGCCTCCAGAAATGGTTCCAGCTTCCTGCTAACAGTTCTAGAAAATCAGCTTGCAACTAACAGCAACCCCCGCGCCCTGCCCACCCCGCCAAGAATGGCGTCAGTGTTGCCCCCGCCTCTCCCCTTATTTTAGTGACCTACCTAATGCCTGACTTTCCTGGCAACTCTCCTTTTAGCCAAAGAAATGAACAATCCAAAGACTTGGAAGTGAAATACTATGATGTGAAACACTTGGCCCTCTTGTATACTGTGTCAAAACCAGAGAAATAAATGGAATTTTTATGTTAGAAACAAACAAACAAAAAGACTACTGAAAATTATCCACTTCCTTCGTTTATGAACTGTCTGCCCTAAAGTTTATGTCCAGATGGCTGGCTCCTTAATGAGACCTTTCCACACAATGATAATGATGAGATCTCTTATTTCCTGCTCCTTTCCTCTCTCTGCCTCCTTTTTGTATCAAATTTATTTTAAAAGAAAAGAAAATCTTAAATGACACAGAAAACTGTTTCTGAACATTCGGTTTAGGAACCTAATGGATTTGCATGTGAACTGAAGGAGGTATATGAATTGTGGGAATGAGTTATATATAATCACCACTGGTGAGATGAAAATCATCCTAAAAATCATCTTAAGAACAGGTGTGAAGCAGTGAACACCAATGATCGAGCACCAGATGAGTTGTGGGATGACTTCAAGGATACCATCCATGAAGAGAGCAAAAGGTCACTATAAAGTCAGAGGAGAAGGAAAAACCCCCAAAATAGATGTCAGAAGAGACTTAGAAAATGGCACTGTTGTTGTTGTTATGTGCCGTCAAGTCGCTTGCGACTCATAGCGACCCTATGTACAACAGCCCTAAACTCTGCTCTGTCCTGTGCCAATTGCACT